GTTCAGGAGTTCAGGGGTCAATCAGAGATATGAACAGTTTATGTGCATAATCAGGGACTTCCTCTCATTAACCCTTTCTTGGATTTTCTTCCCTCACTTTCAAGCTCTGTAGGGATTCAAGCTGTGGTCACACAAACAATGCTTGGGTTTTCCAATAAATAAAACTGGGACCTCGGGCAAAGAGCAGTCAAATTATGAAACTCACTTGGAGTACAAACAGACCCCAGCAAGAGGAGTTTCTCCCTGTTGCACTGCTCTCACTCCCTTTGGGCTACCTCCCTCACCCCTGGAGCCAAGGAAGGGCCCCCGACCCCTATATTAGTTTTCTAGGGCTGCCATAACTAAGGACCACAAACTGGGGAGCTTCAAACAATAGAAATTTATTGTTTCACAGTTTCAGAGGCTAGAATTCCAAAATCACAATATTATCTGCTCTCTGTGAGGTCTCCACGAGGGCGGTCCTTCCTTGCTTCTTCCCATGGTTCCTGGCAGTCTTTGTGTTCTTTGGTATATAGATGCATCATTCCAGTCACTGCCTTCATCCTCACAAGGACATTTTCTCTATATATCTTCTCTCTCTTTTATAAGGACAGCAGTCATTGTACTAGAACCCACCCTATTCCAGTATGACCTATGTTCACTTTACTAATGACATCTTCAAATACCCTACTACCAACACGGATCACATACACAGGTACTATTGTTACTGCTGCTACTGCTGTGTGAAATCAAGTTGGTTCCAACTCATAGTGACCCTATATATAGTTTCCAAGGCTGTAAATCGTTATGGGAACAGAAAGCCTCTTCTTTCTCCCATGGAGCAACTGGTAGGTTTGAACTACTGACTTTGCAATTAACAGCCCAACGGGTAACTCACTACCCTACCAGTGTTCCTTACACAGCTGCTATTGTTGATGGTAAGTGCCATAGAGTCATTTCCAACTTGTGCTGTTTCCAAGGAGCAGCTGGTGAGCTTGAACCATTGGCCTTGAGGTTCAAATCGACCTTTCAGTCCAGCATATTAACCTGCAGTACCACACCAGGACTCTTACACAGTTACCTTGTTGTTATTGTTTAGTGCTGTCAAGTCGGTTCCGATCCATAGTGACCCTGTATAGGGTTTCCCAGGAGCGGCTAGTGAGCTTGAACTGTTGACCTAGAGGTTCAAAGACTTTTCAGTACAATGCATTAACCCGCAGGATTAATGAAAACCATTAGGATTTCAGCATATCTTTTGAGGAACCCAATTCAACCCATAACACCCACCACTCCAGGCAAATAGACCTTGAAATCTCCTGCTCAAGTCATCCCAAGTCCACTTCTAGTGTCTACTCACATCTTTTCAGCCTCCCCAGAGTAGACTATACATACTTAGTCCCAAATGGTGCTGCTGTGCATAGGAGGGATCATCAGCCCCAGTGCCCTACCCTGTGAGGTACCCCCACTTTTAATGCAGCCCCAGGCCAGGCCAATGATGCCTTCGTCCTGGTTTCTTCCATTTAAAAAAAAACCTTATTGTGAATTGAGTGAAAATTTAAACAACAGATCATCCATTTTACATTCAACAAATCATACAATTCATTTCATCTCAATACTTGCTTCCTCAATACCTCAGTGTAATATCACTTATCCCTCTTCCTCCATGTGATTCTTGGTTCCGTTCCTCTTTCCCAAACCTTCTGAATTTTGTCCTTTTAATCTCAAATGGTTAAGGAGCTATAGCAGCGTAGTGGTTACAAATTGTGTTGCTAATCTCAACAGTTTGTAACTACCAGCTGTTCTGTGGGAGAAAGATGAGGCTTTCTGCTCCTGTAAAGATTTACAGCCTTGGAAACCTTGTACAGGGTCACTGAATTGGAACCAACTCCACGGCACATAACCACCACCACCAATCGCAAATGGTTGACTGTTCTATGGTGTGCATATCTCACTAGTGTTATTGCCCCCCCTCCCCCATCTATCTCCTATAGAACAGCTGGTAGTTTCAAACTGCTGAGGTTAGCAACACAATTTGTAACTACTACGCTACCAAAGCTCCTTAACCGTTTGAAATTAAAAAGACAAAATTCAGAAGGTTTGGGAAAGAGGAATGGAACCAAGAATCACATGGAGGAAGAGGGATAAGTGATATTACACTGAGGTATCAAGGAAGCAAGTATTGAAATGAAATGAATGTGGCTCTGTGGTTTAATGCGTCAGACTGCAAAGTCTTTGAACTGCAAGGTCAGTGGTTCAAGCTCACCAGCTACTCCTTGGAAACCCTATACAGGGTCGCTATGGGTTAGAATCAACTTGTTGGCACTTTAACAACAACAACATAGCTATTGTTTGGCTGAAATCGTTCTGGGATCTTACATTTCCGAATGAAAAATGTTTCTTGTTTTGTTTCTTGTAAAGCTTTTATTGTGAATTGAGTGAGTGAAGGTTTACAGAGCTTTATATCCAGCAAATCATTGCAATGATTACAATCCCCTCCATGTACCACTAGCTAACAGTTTACCTCCATTACCTTTTTTTTTTTTTTTTTGATGTACACATACCACATTGAATATATATATTTGTTTAAATGTCCAAAGGGCACATTTATCAAGCTAGCCTCTTGCCCACAGGCACACTGCCTTTCTTAGTCCATGGGCCTAGAGTCCTCTGCTGCTCTCTCTATGCCATCACCTTTGCCTCTGTCTCTGTTGTCGCCACATTTCTGGTTAGGGTCCCTCACTCCTCTCATGCTCTTCCTTCTTGATGGCCCTAGGGTAAAAATGCTTTCTTTCATCCCTGTAACCTGGCATGGCCAGGTCTTTTCCTGCTAAATAATTTAATCATTATGTTGAGAAGAAAAACCTTGTTAGAAAAAATTGACATGAACACAGGAACTCAATATCAGACCTTTAATTCATGTGTGTAATAAGAGCACGTAGTCTTTGGAGTCACAGTTGACTGTGTGTGTATTTGTGGCTGTACCACCATGGCTCCACAGGGGATCCACTGTGTTCAGACCTACCCATGCATCATGCTCATCACTCAGGAGCTTGCCATACATGCCAGGTCAGCTCATGGGCTCAGGAAACGTCATCTTTCTTCACTTTACAAGCCTTTTGGTGACTGTGAGGTTCTAAGGATACAAAGATAAGGGACGATGTTCCTACTTCTGAGGAACTTAAGGGGTGAAATGGTTTGTCCCAAAAGGGGGAGAACAAAAACTTACAAGTGGTACTTTAAAATAGCATCCATCATAATAAAACAAAACCCAAACATAGTGTCTTCAAGTGATTGTGACTCATAGCAACCCTACAGTAGGACAGAGTAGAACTGCTCTGTGGGGTTTCCAAGGGCTGAATGTTTTACAGAAGCAGACTGCCACATCTTCTGCGGAGCAGCTGGTGGGTTCACCATAGAACTTTCAGTTAGCAGCCAAGGGCTGTAACTACACCATTAGAATTTAAATAAAACAGACAAGGCATATAATTCCCATATAAAATAAATAAATAAATAGAGAAAAAGGTAACATATACTACAAACCCACTGCATCGTCTATTCCAAGACTGTAAATCATTATAGTTGTTGTTGTTAAGTGCCATTGAATTGATTCTGACTCAGCAACCCTGCATAGGGTTTCTGAGGAGAAGCCAGTGAGTCTGAATCCCCAACCTTGTGGTAAGCAGCCCAGAGCTGATCCTACAGCGCCACCCCAGGACACCAGTCATTATGGTAGCAGGCAGCCTTATCGTTCTGCAGAGTACAACCAACCTTGCAGTTAGCAGCCCAACGCCTAACCCACAGTGCCACCAGAAAACCTAACAAAATGAACGAGAGAGCCTCCTCTGCCTCTAATCTACCCTCTAGGAGTCATTGTTTAGCAGCTTCTTGTGTTTTATTTCCAGGTAGGAAAAAGGTATGTAAACCAGCAGGCACACCTGCCTATATTTATAGATACACAATTAAATACCATTCTGTAGTTGTGACAAAATAAGGGCCATCTGTTTGTCACAAACATAGCAATCGGGTATCCCTGAATTACCATTATTGGCCCTTGTACTTTGTGGTGCTTCATCCTGTATGAAGGTTTAAAATGTGACTAAATTTGTTCATCTTTCTATTATCGTTTCTGAGCTATGTTGTTGTTGTTAAGTGCCGTCAGGTCAGTTCCGACCCATAGCGACCCTGTACAGGGTTTCCGAGGGTGTAAATCTTTACGGGAGTAGAAAGCCTCATCTTTCTCCCGCAGAGCAGCTGGTAGTTTCAAACTGCTGACCTTAAGGTTCACAGCCCGATTTGTAACCACTATGCTACCAGAGCTCTGAGCTATAGTTTTCTTAAATTCCTTCCTGATTAAAATCTCTGTTAAACCAAGTAGTTTCACATGTTCTGAGTCCAGGTGCAGGGATTCCATCTGCTCAGACCTTTTCAGCCTCCCTAAAGTGGACAGTGCATACCTGTACCTGAGGTGCGTGAACACAAACCAATGTCCCTCTGCTTACCAGATCTGTAGCAAGCAGGGCTCACAATCCTGGGGCTTGTGTGGTAAGGACACCATCAGATGTAGTCCTAGAGGAAAGGAAAAGGTGTTTTGAGGATACCTCTGTTAGGAGGAGGTTCTGACTTTGCTTCGAACATCAAAATGCAGGTGAGTCATACTGAGAGGGATGCTCTAGGCTTGAGTAGAAAGACTCTCACAGACCACTTGTACTGTATACTCATCCTTGGTTGGACAAATGACCAGAACCAGCAGTAAGCTTCTCCCAAAAGGTGGCATGAGGTTCAGACTCAGCCAGGTGGTGGACTATGTGTGGCTGGAGCAGCTACACTGGATGAGAATTCCCTAAACCCCATCCTCTATCCTTCCCTGGCACCTCTCTAAAGTCTGGCTTTTCAGCAGAGAGTATATGGAGGAGATCTAGACCTTGGGACAGCTACAACACACATACTGGTCCATAGCTGTGACCACCCCATCCTCCCACCCCTGCCTGACAAAGTGAGCTCACATCTCACCCAACCAGGACTTACGAATTAAGGACGGGCAGGGTAGCAGCAGCCATAGGGCCAGCCACATGGCGCACTGTGGGCTGAAAGTTGGCGGCCTGTGGGAGTGCCGTGGCTGCAACAACTGATGGCCACATGGGGTAGCTCATAGGGGTCCCAGGTGTGGAGATGGATTGTAGTGGGGCTGGGGGTGCATAGTGGTGATGGTGGTGCACCGAGGCCAGCCTCTGCTTTTCTGCTCGCTGGAAGACAGGGTGTGCCCACTGCGGATCCTGAAATGACACAGGTAAGTGAGAACGTTTCAAGTGAGGACCCCACCCTCTTTGTAGTCCCCCAGAATCCTGAATCAGATTTGAGAGGGGCAAGGAGTGCCAGCCCCACACGGACTACAGGAACCACACTGACTATAGCCTGACTTTAGACAATAACTTTATGAGCCCCTTTTTAGAGGCATGTTGTTGTTAAGTGCCATCAAGTCAGTTCCAACTCATAGCGAGCAACCCTGTATAGGGCTTCCAAGGAGCAGCTGGTAAACTTGAGCCCCCACCAGCCTTGCAGTTCAAACTAACCTTGCAGTCCAACACATAAACCCATAGCACCACACCACAACTCCTTTTAGAGGCCTATAGCTATAAATATTTCCAGAAGGAAAACAATTCCAGGTGCTCTTGTTTAGATTGGGTGGTCCCCACTGTCCCCCACCCCAAGCTGCTCCTGCCTGGCCTACCTGTGGGGTGGGGTGCAGGGCGGTGATCTGTGGCCCTGGGGCAGCCAGTGCAGCAGGTGGCAGAGCCTTGAGCATCATGTTTTGCATGATAATCTGGTGCATCTGGGCGTTCTGCATCAGCATCATCTCCACCATGTCTGAAAGGAGAGAGAGGACTCAGAATGCCTGTGGAGAGGTGCCAGTTATGGGGCCTACTTTAGAAACAAAACTTGTGTTTATAAGTATTTGTTTACAATGGTGCTTTAGCAAGCAGCAGAACATCTGGCACTTTTGTCTTTGTGCAGGTCTGTGAGATACCTTCTGAGAGATAAAACATCTAAGTCAAAGGTATGTGTGTTTTAAGAGACCCCAATTTTCATTCTGCTAAAGATGAACACGAGGACGCTCTGGTAGCATAGTGGTTACGAATCGGGCTGCGAACCTTAAGGTCAGCGGTTCGAAACTACCAGCCGCTCCGCGGGAGAAAGATGAGACTTTCTATTCCCGTAAGGATTTACACCCTCGAAAACCCTGTACAGGGTCGCTATGGGTCGGAACCGACTCGACGGCACTCAACAACAACAACAACAACAATGATGAACACGAGCTCCACTCCTCAAATCATAATTGTCATGGGTTACAGGTGGACCCAAAAGGTATGTCCATATTTTAACCCTGGGGACCCTGGAATGGGATATTTGGAAAAAGACTTGTTCACAGATGTAATTAAACTAAAGGCTCTTGAGATGGGAGATTATTCTAAATGATCTGAATGGGCCCAAATGCAATGACAAATATTCCTACATGAGAAATGCAGAAGGAGATTTGAGGCAAATCTGTGTGGACACTGGCAGGGACTAGAGTACTAGAACCACAAGCCAAGGGACTGTTGAGCAAGGTGAGCAAGGCAAGGAAGGGTCTTCCCCTAGAGCCTCTCCTAGGCCCTGCTCCCACCTTGATTTCAGCCTCTGGCCCCCAGAATTGTAAATATTATTGCAAGCCAGATAGTTTGTAGTGATTTGTTACAGCAGTTCCAGGAAACTAGTATACTCACCAACACTGAGAGTTACAAAATTTTAATTTCTGCCCACATGACAGGTAAACATTGGTACTTTCCACAGCACCTAGATCCCGGAAACGTACTGTCCTGGAGGCTTTGTCGACTGTACAATGGAAGGAGAGGTCTCCTAAGACTATCCTCTCAAACAAATAATGTGACCACTAGAGTCAAAAGCACTTAACAACAACAGCAACAACAAATCCTAGAGTCTGGGGACTGGGCTCAGAGAGGAACATCAGGAGCTGGGGCTGGGCTGCCAGGCCAAGACTGTGAGCCAAGGGGGCTACAGGAGAAGAGAGGGAGGGCAATCAGAGCTGATCCCTGAAGAAGCATAGCAGTGGGAAAATTCAAACGATTGAAGTTGTCAAAGACTGTTTTGCTTGGATCCACCATCAACAGTCATGGAAGCAACAGTCAAGAAATCAAATGACATATTGCATAAGGCAAATCTGCTGCCCAAGACCTCTTTAAAGTGTTGAAGAGCAAAGATGCCAGTTTGAGGACTAAGGCATACCTGATCCAAACCACAGTGTTTCCAATAGCCTCATATTGCATGTGAAAGGTGAACAGTGAATAAGGAAGACTAGAAGAATTGATGCATTTGAGTTATGGCACTGGCAAAGAATACTAAACGTACCATGGACTGTCAGAAGAACAAACAAATCTGTGTTGGAAGAAGTATAACCAGAATGCTCCTTAGAAACCAATGTGACTAGACTTCATCACTCATACTTTGGACGTATTATCAGGAGGGATCAGTTCCTGGAGAAGGACAGACATCATGCTGGGTAAAGTGGAGGGAGACCCCCAACAGGATGGATTGGCTGCAGTGGGCTCATGTATGGCAGCATTTGTGAGAATGGCATAGGACTTAGTCGGTGTTTCATTCTGTTGTACTCATCGGGTCACTATCAGTCAGACTGGCTCAATGGCACTTAGCAACAACAATAACAATCCCCAGGACCTGAAAATACATTACCTTCCATGGCAAAAGATCTTTGTAGCTGGGAAAATTATCCTGTATTGTTTGGGTCTAAACTAAACCATCTATTGATTCCAATTCATTATTGTTGTTGTTAAGTGCCAAAGAGTCAGTTCCAACTCATAACAACCCTGTATAGGGTTTCCAAGGAGTAGCTGGTGAGTTTGAACTGCTGACCCTGTGGTTCAAACCAATTTTGCAGTTCAGTGCTTTATCCCACAGCACCACACCAGGACTCCATTTCCAACTCATAGTAACCCTATATAAAATAGAATAGAACTACTCCATAGGGTTTCTGAGACTAAATCTTTTTGAGAGCAACAGCCTCAAGGAGAGCAGACAGCCTCATCTTCCTCCAAAGCACCACCAGGGCTTAGCATTAGGCTGCTAATTGCAAGGTTATCTGGGTAGGCCCAATGTAATCCAGTAATCCTTACGAGAGGTAAGCAGGAGAGTCAGAGGAGTAGGGGATGTAATCATGGGAACAGAGGTAGGAGCAATAAGGAGGAGGAATCATGAACTAAAAAATGTGTGCAGCCTCTTGAAGGTAGAAAAGGTAAAGAAACAGATGTTCCCTAGGGCCTCCAGAATGAACACAGCTTTTGACCCATTTTCAACTTCTGATCTTGTGTAAAATAATAAATTGTGTTGTTTTAAACCATTAAATGTGTGATGATTTACAGCAGCAATGGGAAACTAATACAAATAGTATGCATCAACGAGATTAATCAAGCTACAACTCTTTCCAAGAATATAGAAAATATCACAAATGTAATATTGGGTGAAAGAAGCCAACTACAAAAAGTATATACTGGGGGAAAAAGTATATACTGTAAGATTTACATGATATGAAATTTGAGGATAAGCAAAACTATAGTATTGGAAGTAAGGAGAGGGTCAGAAATAGATGGCAGACTAGGCATAAAGGCTGTGCAGGCTCTCTGCAGCAAGGATATGGAAAACCAGACAAGACAGACAACATGGACCATCCTGAAACTAATAGAAAAGTGGATCGAGTGCTTACTGGGAGACAGAGTCAAATAGACACAGCAAGACACAGGTGACTGACAAGCAGCTGCTGCAGACAAAACCTACCATAGGCATCTTGAAAGTTCATGAATGGCTTTAGAGATGAGAAAGCATATTTTTATTGAAGAAACCTACCTGTGGCTCATGGAGACAAAGGTGTGATTTATTCATATATTTATTCTTCCTTTTTCCTCTAGCATACCATTCCAGGGAATCTCCTGCTTTTCAGGCAGTCAGAACCACTTGGAAGTTTTAAGCCCTGGGGAGGCGTTATATACAATAACCACACTAGGGTAGGCTAAGCTCCAAATCTGCAAAGTCAACCCTGGCCAACTCTGGTCTGGCTCTCATTAGGAGAGGGGGCTGAACGGATGCATGGGGTAGAGAAAAAAAAAAAAAAAGGAAGGAAGGAAAGGCAAATGATCTAGGCAGGCCCTCCAGACACAGCATGGCCAATTTGAACTTTTCCAGGCGACTGTGAAGGCAAGAGGCCAGTAGGTGGCAGAGCACACTATCTGCTGGTGGAGAGAAAGCCATTGACTTTCTGTTTTGCCTTTTTTTTTTCCTTTTTGCTGTAAGGGATTTTTTATTGTTGTCTTTCTTTTTCTCTTTCTCTCTCTTTCTTTCTCTTCTTTCTTCTTGCATCACACAACAGAAGACAGCAAATGTAACCATATATCCAAGCCATAGTCATACCCTTTACAACCCTACCAGTTGGGCAAGAGTCCATACCAGCTGCTAACACCAGAGTAGTGATTACACCCAACATTTGCTAAAGCCATTATGAATTTAACCATATGAACAGTGAACAGAGGCAACTGGTGAGTGCCTAAAAATACACCAACATACATTCATCAATTTAATATAAATATAACAACATCACAAAGCCTAAAAAGCAGCAGAAAGTAGTTTCTATTCACACACAAAAACAAGACAGAGCAGCTCAAACAAACGACCAAGAGGAAGAGCTAGAAAATACTTTTGAGGAAAGAGAGGCACTGGAACAACCTGAAAAAGAATTCAGGAGCATGATAATGAGGTACATCCAAATGTTTCACAGAAAGGTCAAGGAAGAATTCAAAAAAATGCTGCAGGAACAATCAAACAAAATAGATAACAACATTGGAGACAATACAAAATCTCCAAACAGAGGTTCAGATGATCAATACTAAAATATTAGAAATGGACAATTCACTGAAATGGCAAAGGAATAAAATTGAATTATTGGAAGCTAGAATTAGCAAGCTTAAAGAGAACTCTCTTAGTACTGGTAAAATAGAAGAACAATCAGAAAAAAAAGGAAAAATATGAAGAAAGCCTAAGATTCATGTGGGACAACATGAAGAAAAATAACCTAGGGTGATTGGAATTTCAGAATAAGAAGAGACAAGGAAAACCACAGAAAAGATAGTAGAAGAGATGCTGGAAGAAAAGTTCCCTAACATCATAAAGAATAAAAAGATTAGCATTCAAGAAGCTGAACAGACCCCAGGCAGGATAGACCCTGAAAGAAAATCACTAAGACATATCATAATCAAACTCTCCAAAATCAAAGTTAAGAAAAGAATCATGAAAGCAGCTAGGGAAAAATGAAATGTTACCTACAAAGGAAAACCAATAAGACTAAAGTCTGATTTCTCAGCAGAAACCATGCAGGCAAGAAGGCAATGGGGATACATATACAAAACTCTGAAAGAAAAAACTGCCAGCCAAGAATCATATACCCAGCACAGCTGTCTGTCAAATATGATGGTGAAATTAGAACATCTCAGGATAAACACAAATTAAAGGGCATTGTAAAAGGCAAGGAAATTCTCCAAAATATACTAAACGGAGTTCTTTGGACTGTGAACCAACAAGAGCAGACTGCAACCAGAGATTGATATATATAGCAATACCATATGGCATTCAGTCCAGACATGGAAGTGTACAGAGTAGAACAAAACTATAAGACTAAAAAGAAGGAATCTGGGATGTCAGTATATGATCAAGACAACTACAAAGCAAAGGGAGGAAAAAATAAAGTTACAGAGTTCCAGGTGGTGAGGAGGTCAGGTAGATTTCAGGATAGACGTAAGGATTAGTGATTTCTCTGTTTTTGCTGTTTTATTTGGAGAGGAGTGACTGGAATGAGGTATAGGCAGGGAAGGAGAGGGATGGTTTCTGATTCTTGATGAGGGCCTAGGGCTTTTTACATGGGTATCTTTGTTGTTGTTGTTGTGAAGTGCCATCGAGTCAATTCCGACTCATAGTGACCCTGTATAAGGTTTCCAAGGAGCAGCTGGTGAGCTTGAACTACTGACTTTGCAGTTCAAACAACTTTGCAGTCTGACACATTAGTCCACATCTTTACTTTGTGAAAATTGATCAAGCTGTGTGCTTATGATTAGTATGCTTCTCTGTATATATATTTCAATAAAGCATTTAAAAATTCATGATCTCGCTCTCTCTCTCACACACAATCCAACACTCACACATACATGATTCCCAAATGCAAGGGAAGGAAAGCTAACTGTGATTAAAAGCCAGAAAAAAATAGCCTCCAAGGTCTGTATTGTACAGAATGATATATAAAATTTTTAAAGAGATGTTTAAAGAAGGATAATTTTTTAAATGAGCATATAACAAGAAACTGTTAGTATTGAACAGGAAGACTTAAAAATGGAAGCTCTTGAAATAATTATTTGCAGAAATTTAAAAAAGTAAGTGGACAAATAGAATAGTAAAATAGAGTTAAAAACAGAATCAGAAAACTATAAGATATATTCAAAGAATTTTTCTAGAATACATCAGAAAGAAAAAAAACAACATATAGAAGTAAGGTTCGCTGACTTGGAGTAGAAAAAGAGAGACTGACAATTTCAGATCGGAGTCCCAGACAATATTGAAATAGGACAGACAATATTGAAAAGGATAGTGGCTGCATATTTTCCAGAACTAACAAAAACATAATCTCACAAAAGGAGGCGAGACAAGATAGGAGAAGGAAATGGAACACCTAACTAATTGCCTCCTTAAACAGCTGCCCCCTTTGCCATGGGATGAGAAGAACTGCATGGTGCCTAGCTACCATTACTAAACATTTTGATCATAGCTCCTATAAAAGAATGATGATAAAAAGGGGAATGTGCAGAATGAAATGTAAAATTCTCATGGAATCCAGCATTTCAGAGCCCAGGAATGCTAGATTAGTCCCTGAAACTTTTGGCCTGAGATAATCTTTAGGCATTAAACATTAAACCAAAAATATCCTTTAATCTTCAAATTAAAAGAAAATAGCTTAACTAGTAGAGAATCTATCTGTTTTGAGCATTGGCCTATTTCAAGAATTTCCTGTTAAGTGCCAAATGAGTCGGTTCCAACCCATAGCAACCTGTATAGGGTTTCTGAGGTGAGCTTGAACCACGACCTTGCAGCTCAAACCGACTTTACAGTCCAGTGTATTAACCCATAGCGCCACACCAGGACTACATGAGATCATACTGACAACCGCAACTTGAAAGATTAGATAGAAAATTTAGAGAGCTGTAAATTTATGTTATTGTGGGAATATTTGTTCAAAAAAAGAGAATGAGAATGGTTACATAACTAGAAGAATGTAATCAATGTTACTGAATTGTGAATGTAGAAATAAGTTGGACTGGTTTATGCTCTGGTGTGTTTATTATCAACAACAAATTAAATTAAAAAATAAATAACCTCACAGATACAAGAAACATATTGTATCCAAACCAAGAAGAATAAAAATAAATCCACACCTTGATATATTAGTGTAAAACTGTAAAACATCTGAAACAAAGTGAAGACCTTAGAAATAGCCAGAAAGAAATCCTAGCTCATCTAGAAGGGAATTCAGAGAATGACAGCAGATACATCAACAATAATAGATATCAGAAAGCAACTAGTATTTAAAACAAGGGCAAAAAAAAAAACAAGGGCAAATAAAAACATTTATAGAAAAGAAAACTTTTTTCAGAGACTATGTTAAAGAGACTGCCCTAAAGAAACTTGTAAAAAATCTGTTTCAAGTTGATGAAAACTTATTTCCAGAAGGTGGTATTTACCTAGGACAAATGAGAACATATGTCTTCAAAAAGACACCATAAATGTTCTTATCAGTCTTTTGGTAATAACAACAAACAAGACAAAGAGAAACAACCCAAGTGTCTATCTTGGGTGAATGGATAAAAAAATTGTGGCACATCTGTACAATGGGATACTACTCAGTAATGAAAAGAAACAAAGTATTAATATAACAAACGTAAGTATGATTGAAAAAAATATGCTTAGTGAAAAAAGCTAGATAAAAATTAGTTCCTACCATATGTGATAGGTAAGGTTTTGTGTCAACTTGGCTGGGACAAGATTCTCAGTGGTTTGGCATTTGAGATGTAGTTATCCCCATAATGAGATCTCATATAATGTAATGGACTCTTCTGATTAATCTGCTATGAGCCAAACAGTTGAAAGGATATATCAGGAGAGTCCTGGTGTGGTGCTGTGGGTTAATGTGCTGGACTGCAAAGTCGGTTTGAACTGCAAGGTCGGCGGTTCAAGCTCATCAACTGCCCCTTGGAAACCCTATATAGGGTCGCTATGGGTTGGAACCTATTTGACAGCATTCAACAATAACAACACTCCTCAGGGGTGTGGTCTGCTTCCAATATATTAGACACTAAGGCAGCTTGTTTGTTTTCTACTGGATCTAGATCTTCCATCTAACTCATGCTCTGACCTTAGCAGCCTGCCAGTCTGCCTGTCTGCTTCCTCAAGCACCTGCTAATCTGCTTTTTGTCACTATAACACATAAAGCAGATCAGCAGTTGCTTGAGGAGAAAGTGAAAGGGGCACAAGAAAACTGTTGGGGTGATTACTATGTTTATTATCTTAATTGTAGTAATGGCTTGTCAAAATTTATCAAATGCACACTTTAATAAGTATTTACAGGTCACATATAAGATATGTCACATATCGCAATAAATCTGTTTTGAAAATGAAATACCTACAAGTTCTTTAAAGAGAAGAAGCAATGTAACAAGAGTGTTGTATCAGTAATAAGTGGATGTTTTGAGATGAGATTCTAATTCTTTTGACTCCTAGTCCAGTGCCCTTTCTTTTGTCTCTTGCTTATTTCTTTAAGAGCTGTCCTTCATATAAAGATTTCTTAAAGTTAACATTATGTTCATGTTAGTAAATTTATAGCATCAGTTGGGGAGCTCAAAGTTGACCCTATATAACTATCCCGCTTACAAAAATATTTTTCTTTCAATTGGGATTTTATAAACTCATCATAATATGGAATACTTACCTTCCTTAATACTCCCAGACCTAGGAGTGGGGAAGGTCTGGGGGGCAGGAATCTGTGCAATGAGAGGCTGATGAGGTAGCTGTTGAATGATGGTGGCAGGTGGCTGGGGTACCTAGGGTGAGGCAAATAATTAGCTATCTGAATGCATCCAGAAAAGTGTGTTCTATAGAATCCACCCAACTATACACCAGCCTACCCATACACCTACCCACCTATCCATTCATCCATCTATCCACTCAATTATCTATCCACCTATCCATCTACCCGCCCACACATCCACCATTCCATGTATTACGTATTCATCCAACCATCCATTCATTCACCCATTTATGCACCATCCTTCCATCCCCATTCATCTATCCAACCACCTATCCATCCACCTACCTACCCACCATTCACTGATCAAAAGGGAACTTTAATTAGCCCTAAAAGAAGAATAGATGGCTGAATAGATAGATATATGCTTGTGGGTTTTAGTTAGAACAAGAAAGTAAAAGACAAGAAAGGAGGACAACAACACTAGTAGGGTGTACTCATCATGGAATGTTCAAGATTTTTTAAAAGGCAACATTTACTTAAGACCAAAGTTGAGAAGGGATGGGAAGGAGGGTGAAATGGAAACACAAATCACAGGGAGGAAGTGGGATAACTTTTGTTACATAGAAGGGATTACAATCATTGAGATGAAACAAAGTGTATAATTTGTTGAATATAACTGGTGATCTCTATAAATCTTCACTCAATTAACAATAAAACTTGAAAAAAGAAGAAAATGTGGCATCAGGAGTTGAGGAAGATTCACTATCAACCTGCAATTTACAGATGACACAACCTTGCTTGCTGAAAAGGACTTTAAATACTGATGAAAATCAAAGACTACAGCCTTTAGTATGGATTGCACTTCAATGTAAAGAAAATAAAATCCCCACAACTAGACAAATAAGCCACATCATATTAAACAAGGAAAGAATTGGAGTTGTTAAAGATTTCATTTTACTTGATCCACAGTCAACACTCATGGAAGCAGCAATCAAGGAATCAAATGGCATATTGCATTGGGTAAGTCTGTTGCAAAAATTCTAAAAAGCAAACATGTCATTTTGAGGACAAAGGTGGACCTAACTCACATCATGGTATTTTTAATTGCCTCAATTGCATGCAAAAGTTGAACAATGAATATGAAAAACCAAAGAATAGTGGTGTCTTTGAATTATGCTGTTTGTGGAGAATATTAAATATATCAGTGTTATAGATTTAATTGTGTCCCCCAAAATACGTGTCAGCATGGCTGGGCCATGATTCTCAATGGTTTTGCAGTTATGTGATGATCCTCTATGATGTGATCTGACGTGATAAACCAATAAGAAGATTAAGGGTGGGATGTTGTTGTTGTTAAATGCCATGGAGTCAGTTCTGATTCATAGTGACCCTGTATGGAGTTCTCAAAGGAGTGGCTGGTAGATTTCAACCACCAACATTATGTTTAGGAATTCGGTGCTTATCCAACAGCACAATACATCACACTTAATCCTATCAAGACCCTGATGGAATGTAAGGGAGATTCCCAAGAGTTTGACATGCAACACCTTAGATCTTACAAGAGATAAAAGGAGAGAGAAGTGGTAAAAGGCAGAGAAGAAGGGCCTTCTACCACCAAGAAAGATCTAGTAATGGAGTGTGGCCTTTGGACCTGCATCCCTGCACTATGAAGCTCCTAGGCTCTAGACATACGGAGATCTCTAAAGAATGCTGGACTTACAGATACTAAAAGGAGACAAGAGCTAGTGCTCCGAATTCAGCTTTCTAGCCTCCTAAACTGGGTTAAAAGAAGCTCTGGTAGCATAGTGATTACAAATCGGGCTGCGAACCTTAAAGTCAGCAGTTTGAAACTACCAGCTGTTACACGGGAGAAAGATGAGGCTTTCTGCTCCCCATAAAGATTTACAGCCTCGGAAACCCTGTACAGGGTTGCTATGAGTCGGAACCGATTCCACGGCACATAACCACCAAACTGGGTTAATGTGCCAGACTGCAAAGCCGTTTGAGCTGCAAGGTCAGTGATTCAAGCTCACCAGCTGCTCCTCGGAAACACAGGGTTGCTATGGGTCAGAACTGACTCAGTGGCATTTAACAACAAAAACATCTTAAGGCAATGGGTTGCTAGGCCTGGGGGAGGAGATCCTAAACTGTGAGATCATAAATCTCTGTTTGTCAAAGACATCCACTTGTGATATTTCTTTTATAGTAGCACTAGATAACTAAGACAACCATGGACTGCCAGAAGAATGGACAAATCTGTCTTGATAGAACTACAACAAGAATGTTCCTTAGAAGTGAGCCTAGCAAGACTTTATCTCATATACTTTATCATGAAGGACCAGTCCCTGGAAAAGGACACCATAGTTGATAAAGTACAGGGTCAGTGAAAAACAGGAAAACCCTCAATGAGATGGATTGACCAGTGGCTTCAACAAGGGGCTACAATATAGCAACAGTTGTGAGGCTGATGCAGAACCAGGCAGTGTTTCGTTCTGTTTATATATATGGTTACCATGAGTTGGCACCTAACCACCACAACAACAGCACTTTAGGAGTTGGCATTTTCAATGTTCCTACATTTTCTGTCTTTTTCAAGCTAAGTGAATGCCTGTCTGCATTATGTTTGCCTGAATAGAAATACATTAATTGCCATCAAGTAGGTTCTGACTCATAATCATAAGACAATACAACAAACTGACAGATGAGTGGTAGAATAGAAATATATCAGGTTCTTATCATGAAAATATCCCTTGGCTTCTCTGCTGAGTTAAAGTCATTGTTCAGCAACTTCAAGAAAGCACTAGGTGTAGATAGAGGGGCAGGAAGACCTTTTATTCTAATTTTTGGTATACACAAGCTCTGCATGACCTTGTCCTTTATTTTTCCACTTACAGAAAGTATGCCATACCCCAAGAGTTGGCAAGCTTTTTCTGTAAAGGGCCAAATAATAAATATTTTAGGCTTTCAGGTCATACAGTCTCAGCTGTAACTATTCAAATTTGCTGTTGTAGTATGAAAGCAACCATAGAGAATATATAAACAAATGGCTGTGTGTCGATAAAACTTTATTTATGGGCACTGAATTTTGAATTTTGTATACTTTTCACATATTATAAAATATTCTTCTTTTGATTTGTTAGCTGACAGGTTGTACAAAAACAGGATAACCCAACTTTGGCCTGTTGTCATAGTTTGTCAACTCCTGGAGGCATTCTTAGAATGGCTGTGCTTGTCCTGGCCAATAGGACCTCCTACCTCAGGATCCCTGAGTCCAGCTGATGGCGAGCTCAGTTTAGTGACCAAGGGCCACTGCGCACACTCTTACAGGATGAGATTGGATCACATAGCATGACTGAGCCCTGATAAAGATGCAGTGAAGGTAGGCCTTTTTGGTTTGGGAAAGGGGTCCTGAGTTCCTCTAGGACCCCCACCATTCCTATGATAACTGAAAGGGAGACCAGAAAAGTCTCAGGGATTCCAGGTGTTGGAAGACTGAAAGGGAAAGTCTAGGATATCTAGAACCTGGACAGTAGGCAGCCCACAACAAAAAGGGACTCTAGGGTTTATGTGAGCATGGATCCCTTTGAGGTTGCCCTTCACACATGGTTCCATCCACAATGTGTAGCTAGGATCTCCTCCCCAAGAACAAAAGCCCTCCTAGTCATGAATCCAGTCAGTTAGGCACCATCAAACTTCTTGACCAGCTAATCCAGAATATTCTTAACATGGTCCTGCTACAATTTTGGCCTCCTTTTCTCCCCTTCTCCCATACTCTGCACCTGAGTCACATGGAACTTTTTGTGGAGACTCAACCTGGCAGTTTCTCAGGTCTCTCTCCCTTTTCTGGGTGGTCCTGGTGAGGTGCTGTGGACTGAAAAGTTGGTTTGAACTGCAAGGTTGGTGGTTCAAATTCACCAGCTGCTCCTAGGAAACCCTACACAGGGTCACTATGGGTTAGAACCAACTCAAAGGCATTTAACAACAACAACAGTTGCCCTCTAATACATCTTCTTTTGCTTAAGCCAGTCAGAGTTGCTTTCCATTGCGTACAAACCTGAAGGCTGAATAAAGTTTGAAGTTCTCAAATTTGGACACTCATTTACCTCTTGAAGTTTTGTTGCTATGTGCTATCAAGTCAGTTCCGGCTCATAGTGACCCTGTATAGGGTTTCTGAGGAGCAGCAGGTAAGTTCAAACTGCCAAACTTGCAGTTCAAAACAATATGTGGTCCTGCATTTTATCCTACAGCACCACACCAGGACTCCTTTAAATTTAGTCCTTAAAATTAAGGTATTAAGCTTTCCCCGATCACTATGAAGTTTTGAAAGAGTTGACATACTTCTTCCTTCCTGATGCTGAACTTCCCAACCACTCCACTCCTAGAGCAAAGACTAAGAGCAGAGTTGGAGTTAGGAAGATGGAGTTGGAACCTTAGTTTCTCAAATGCAACAAGGGGTACAACCATCCCCTCTTCCACTGATCTGCAGGGTCCTTGCACCATTGGCTCTTAGTCCATCAGCCCTCTTCAATGCACTTTCACAACACTGGTGGGTTTGCCCTGAAATGGGTAGTTATAAGAGAGATAAATCAATTATCATCTCTTTGTCTAGATGACATGTTTCTATGAGCATACTGTTCTCCTAAAACTTCTGACAAACTGTGGGCATAAGGAGGTGGTTGGAATGGGATTGCATATTTAGTACAGATACACACACAATACACACTTGCGTGGGTACTTGCAAGTCAGACATGCTGTTCTCATGTCTGTTTGGTGAAGATATGTCTCTTACTGAGTGCTGGATGATCCGGGGTGGCTCTGGGCCTGGTGGGGGCGGTAGCGTAGAGGTGGCAGGGTGGCCCAACACAGGGGGCACCTCTGACCCCCAGGCCCGTCTCTCTGTCCCCCTCCAGGTGTGGGCCCGAGAGAGCTCCTCCAGGAGGTGCTGTTCCTGAAACACATACAGAACCTGCTGGCCTCCTGCAGAAGCCAGGAAAGGAAATGCGCAGAGAGCCACATCTGGTGTGACAATATCCAAATCCTCAGAAATAGAGCTCCATGGGGGAAAGGGTCATAGGGCTGTTAAAGTGGGTCATTTCTCAGAGGCTCTGCCCTCGCCCCACCTCATTGCTCATGGGACCTGTGGCTGTGGGGTTGCAGGCAAACTGGGCTTGCTGGGACTGAACCAGTATAGAGAGGGGTCCTGGGGACCTCTGGAGGGGCACATGTGAAAATCTTTTTTCTTTATAATTTTACCAAATTGTTTTCTGGTTGTTTTGTTTTGTTCAAGCAGAAAGAGTCTGTTTTCTCTTTCAAGCATGCCTCAATGCTCACTCCCTCTAGGAAGAGTTCTATTCTAGAAGGAAGAGCTTCCTAAACTCAGCTCCAGTGCAGTGCTACTCTTTACTACCACCTTGGATTCTATGACCTCTGTCCCACAACATTCCTGAGTCTAATCTGGATGAAGCCCAGGATGTCTTAGAGTTGCCTTTTCATGCAGGATCTGGGTCCTTCCTTAATATTCTGCCTTTGATGTATATAACCAACACAAGCTCTTCAGCTGCCAAGAACTCCTGAGCACCTCTTGGCTGCATACAATGTCTTATCTAGGGAGCTGCGAGTCACCAGTTATCATCAGTGAGTCAAAGATGCTCAAGAAGCAGCATTAAGCACTCAGAGACCACTGATTATCACAGCCCACTGACTAGATCAACAGCCTGGCTGATAGGAGCTGCAGTGGGCTCAGGCCAGGCTGGCTGGGAGGGTCAGGCCTACCCAGAGTCTCTGCAGGAGCTCCTTCCTTCTCCTCAGGGCAATCTGGAGGGCATCATCTGGCCTGGCCTCCTCTCCTGGAAAGGAAACATGTACTCAAAAGCCAGGCACACCTTGGAATGCCCCCAACACATCTGCTCTGGGACCAGGGTGACCTGGAGCCTCCAGCAAGTACCTGTCTCTAAGGGCTCCGTCGGGGAGAGGGCCGTAGGGCTGTTAAAGTGGGTCATTTCTTAGAAGCTCTGCCCTCACCCCACCCCATTGCTTATGGGATTTGTGGCTATGGTATTAAAGGCAAAACTGGGCTTGCTGGGACTGAACCAGTGTGTAGAGAGAAGAGGGCTCAGGGGTCATCTTCAGGTACTGGGACAACACAAACTCTCAGCCTTCTTGTTGGAGTCTATGGGTCATCTGACCCCTGGGAAGTCACAGAGAGCCGATTCCTACCCAGGCTCAGGACTCTCTGCTTTTGCAACAACCTCATAGAAAGTTCCATTAGCACTGCTGACCATGGGCAGGGCAGGGAAGGATCCTCTTTCCAGGGCTTAGTATCAGGGCCTCAGCTCACAGCATAGCCACCTGGAGCCACCAGTGACTTCAACTTGTTTAGGGCCATAGCGCTGTCTACTAACTCCCAGAAGTCCCGTCTGCAGCTCCCTTCTGTCCATGTCTCTCTTGGGAAAGGAGCCCAAACTCAGGAGAAGGCTCTGGACGGATCTGTATCCAGGCCAGACTCTGGCTTCTTTGCTCTGGGTCCAGGGGACCTGCCCACTGGCTCCTTGCTTGAGTCCAGCTGTGGGGGCTGTGAGCTGCCAAGGATTCCCAGTCCCTCAGTGTCACAATCAGGTAACACAGTTTGGAATTTTCAGTCTCAATAAGGACTCTTGTCTGCTGCCTTTGAGAGCTGTCCGGCATCCCACTGGCCTTTCAGGGGTCCCACTGCCCAAGCCAGTGGCCTCCCCGGTCCACGTCTGCATAACAAGAAATGTTCCTCTGGGTCTCTTAGTATTTGCCAAGTGTCTCAGGACCCCAACTCCCTCATCAGGAATGCAGTCCCTGCCCTGGTTCCATGTAGCCTGAGCACTTGACTGGAGACCATGGGGAGGGTGGGTCCAGGACTGCCTCCACTGCCACCCTCAGGACAAGCTCAGGACTCTGGACTCAGCAATTGGTTGTGATGCTAATTCTTCCAACCTCAGTGGCCTGGGTAGGTTACTTAACCTTTCTCAGCCTTTCTTTTCTCACTTGATAAATGGGAACCGTCACCCCATTTTGGGTTTTGCGGTCTAAAGGCGGTAGTACTTGTGAGTGTGGGCACCACAGTGTTGGGACATGTGTGTATGTATGCATGTGTATGAGTGTTTTAAAGACAAAAACAAAAGCCGTCAAGGAAATTTCTTAAGGATAATCATGCCACTAACAGGAAGACGAGAAGTACCGAGCAGGGGGTGAGGACTCCTATTGCAGACTGTTTGTCCCTACCTCCACTCAGAATGGCCGATCTTGTGCCACCTGAGCCAGCTCCAAGCAGCCCAGGACTCTTACCTGCCACAAGATGTGGGACTTCAGATTCCCCTTCCATGTTCTCACGCTCACACTCCAGCTTCTGAGAGGACAAGAGACCATGTGTGATGTGGGCATTGGCTCCAGCTTAGTGTGAGCAGAAGCTGGGCCTCCCCACCTGCCCTGCCCTCCCCAGCTGCCTACCCTGCAGAGCTATTGGCTGTAAGCATCTAGTCCATGGGCTGTAGGAACAACTAAGAGTATTTCCATGTGACCTGGACCCAGTGTTTGGAAGTATGCAGTGCCATGTGAAGGTTGCAGTGATACCTGGGTTCTCTCAGGCACTGCCTCGGTCATACTACTCAGGATCATGCATGCATTTCCCATTTTAAAATCTGAGGATGCATACTCTGATGGGTCCTCCTTTGGACAGTTTTCTGAGGCGTGGTCCTGGGCAGGATGACTCACAATGACCATCTAGTCACCCCTGCCGGTGTGCAGTCTGACTTGCCCCCTCTACCCTGATCCACCTGTGGCCCTGCAGCTTTGTAGACCCTACTGAGCCCTGAGCTGGGCAGGGCTCAGGTTGCCTCAACCAATGAGACCCCCCTCCCCCACAGCCCTCCTGTGGGAGGGGGCCAGGTGCAGCTCTGGAGACTTGGTTCCCCCATGAGGAGGAAGGAGGCCAGGTAGGCATGTGAGGAGCCACCAGGCCTAGGTCCCACACAGTCCCAAAGACCCTCAGAAAGAGTGAGAAGAATATGTTTGACACAGGTCATCAGGTCACAGCCTGACCACCCAGGTAGCCCGGCACCTGAAGCAAGTCCACCTGAGTCTGTCTCCATAGCAGCAGCCATGTCTACCTTGTGACTCAGGAAGTGCTAGAACCTACCAGGTTCTGTATGAACTGAGAAACCTATAATCAATTTACCAAAGGATGAAACCAGGGAAAGGCTCTACTTTGGAAGCAGGAGCGCCCCTGCAGACAGTTTGCGAGAGGCAGAAAGCAAAGGTGTGTTGCTTTGAACTGTCCCTTGTTTTGAAAACATAAGGGTAGAGTTTGTTTAAGGGAATTATTAGAAACATGACTTTTCCTAGGTCTTCCTACCTTTTCCAAGAGTTTGAGTGTCAGGCGAGTCATTTGGTCGGCCACCAATGAGTCCACCATGGCAGAGACCTTGTGAGGCACTTTCTGCAGGGCCGTATGTCTTCCTCAATCCTCAGTTATCTGCAGGAAAGAACAAGTAAGTGGCATCACTGAATTTATTGCAGAACTCACCAGACTCTGCCTGTTTACCTCCAGGGACAGCCAGGTGGGCAGAGCCGAGCCGGGTGGGGGGCGGTATACTGGCCTGGCCGTCACATTCCTCCTCCTTCTCAAACTCCAGTGCCAGTGAGCCAGAACCAGCTGTGCCTGGGCAGTTGCTAGACGCCCCAGGACAGGGAGGGGCAGTCCCAGTTGCTAGGCTTCTGCTGAGAGCTGTCCCTCAGCCCAGTCCGTTGCCACGTGGGTGTTACCTATAAACAGTGATCCCCAGGTGTGGCAGTGCTGGGCTCCTTGGAAAAGCAGCAGTGGGTAGAAGCTAGGGTTGGAGGGAGAAGGACCACTCCATGTGTGTGAAGAACGAAGGAGAATCCTATGGTGTGTTCACCATTCACCACCTTTCACTCCCCAACCCCAGTTTAGGACCCATAGCAGGTCACAGCCTGAGAGTGGGGAGAACTAAGAGGGAATGTTAACCTTTGGGTTTCAGGAAATCCTGGGCTGCAGAAGGGTCCAGGTCAGAGGGGCTGCCTGGGAAGGCTGGGATGGGGGAAGGACAAGGTCCTAATTTTCTCCACAGCATGGGATAGCTTTTACTGGATTGTCTCACCCCTTGCTTATTTAGTTTATGACCATGTCACACTGGAACACGAGGAGTTCTGCATGGTTGCTGCCAAGGCCTTCCCTCCTGCCTCTGTGCCATCCCATTCAGCTTTTCAGCATCCTAGACTGCAGCAGAGGCAGCTTTCATGGTGTTCACCCTTTCACACGGCGATATGCAGGCACAGCTGTTGGATGCTTTCCCTTCACTTCCCAACTCCACAGCAAACCCCACCCTCAGCATCGCATCGACTCTGACATGGCAGCATTCTCCCATGCCCACAGCATCTGTGTCTGCACTCTGTTTGCTCATCCTGCCCCTGGAACTCAGTGCAATCTGTTTCCACACTCTGGGATTTCTTTCACTCTCCTTCTAATAAATAGGAGGTTGTAAGTTGATGAGAGATGACAATGTGACTGGAAATACTGAACCCACTTAGCCCAGTGACACTTGATACACAAGAGTATGGGGGAGCACGTGAGGATGTTCAAGAGCACGTGTGCACACACAAGAACATGCAAGGGCACATGAGAGCACACGAGAACACACTGTCCAGGTAGGCATTGCTGCCTTCTTTGGTGCACATACCCCAGCACCTTAATCCTGTGAGTGACACAAGGCCCAAGTTATTGCTAGAGTTACCGCTACTATGTATCAGTGTGGTGATTGATTTCATGTGTTCATATGACCAGGTTGTGGCCCCCAGTTATTTAGTCAAACATGAATTCATCTGAGGTAGAGCAGCTATTTCCGCCCCCCATTGTCAGTGGGTCTATTCCAGGTGAAGGCTGTAATAGCCAAAATTGAGGTTTCCTGAGAGAAAAGTATTTGAAAGATTGACCTTCTGGGAGATAAGAATGGTGAAAATTGAAGCTGCTTGGAAACAATTAGTCCAATGGGCTAATGGACCATGGGAACACCATTGTCCATGACCCTGAGACTAGAAGACTTAGATGGTTCTTGGGTACCACTACCAACTGCTCTGGAAATATACAGTGGGAGAAAATGTGTAACCAAACTAAAAATCATTAAAAAATAAAACAAAAAAGGACTAGGATTACTGGTCAGATAAACTGGTGGAACCTCAAAACTATGGTCACAATTCAGGTCTGCAATTGAATTCACCTCCGTGGTTCCATGTTCAGCCAAGCAATAGATAGGTATATGTTGTTGTTGTTAAGTGCCATTGAGTCGGTTGTGACTCATAGTAACCCTGTGTAGTGTTTCCGAGGAGCGGCTGATGAATTTTAACTGCTCACCTTGCAGTTCAAACTGACCTTGAGATTGAGTGCTTATCCTATGGCACCACACACCAGACTCCAGATAGGTATATGTTGTTGTTAAGTGCCATGGAGTCAATTTTGACTCATAGCAACCTGTATAGGGTTTCCAAGGAGCAGCTAGTGGTTTGAACTACCAACCTTGTAGTTTGCAGTCCAGTGATGATCCTACAGCTTCACACCAAAAGTCCAGCTAGGTATGTTTGTTCTTGTTAAGTGCTATAGAATCAGTTCTGACTCATAGAGACTCTGTATAAGGTTTCAGAGGAGCGGCTGGTAACTTGAACTGCTGACCTTTGTGGTTCAATTAGACCTTGCAGTCCAGTGCATTAATTTGTAGTGCCACACCAGGAATCCAGATAGATGTATTAGGGGTGGGGTAAACTACTAGTGGGATACACACAGCATAGAATGGTTAACCATTCAAGATAAAAAAGGCAACATTTACCTAAGGACAAAATTTAGAAGTGTTGAGAAAGAAGGAGGAATGGCAACAAGCAACACAAGGAGCAGTGGGGTAATGAAGTGACATTGAGGGTATCATAAACGAAGAGTATGATTTGTTGCTTTATAAACCTTCACTCAATTCAAAATAAAATTAAGAAAAGTAGGCATTTGAAAATACTGATACTTGATATCCTCTTAAGGAAAATGTGTCCCAAATTTAAATATCACTGGAATTTAGAAAAGAATTATAAATACATGGCTTTTCGATTTTTGGTACATACATTAAAAGTTATCTACAAATAGTTAATAGTATTTATGTGCTGACCCTTAAAACAACCAACAAAATACCAATTACAACGGGGAAGAAGTATTGACTTGTTGAAGTTTCCAGCCTGTTGGGAGGTGATGGGAAAACATGGAGCATGAGCATGAGAACTAACTGCTTCAAATAAATCCATTTCTCT